GAACATACTCTAAAAGGGAAATCATGAGTCTTGTTGAGTTTACTGAAGTGTTGGGTGCCGGGTTTAACAAGGAAGGGGGCAGGGTGAGAAATGAAGAAGTGAGAAGAATCGAGGCGGTCGAAATCACAGAGAGAAGATGAGAGAGAAAGAGAGAGAGAGAGAAAAGGCTCTTGTGACAGCAGGAACATGATGTGGGTCAGAAGGTGCATGTGAAGCAAGTGGAAGGAGAGAGATCAAGAGGGGGGCAGAAGAAGAGGGCAAGGACCAAGGGTGGCACAGTCGGGTGTTTTTTTACAATCGGGTTTAATTGTATTTTTATATTAAACCCGATTATCTGAGATTGGCAGAAATCCGGTTTAATTGGTTCTAATTGCAGAACCGCACTTCGCCAACTTCTCAACGATGGGCTTCATCCATTCCAAGCGAAGGAACTCACTGGCGCCCACGATTGTGGAGGAGAAGCTCGTGTTCATCAAGACCAACCTGCCCGCCGCATTCTACGACTACCCCGTGCCCGATGGCCCCGAGTACGATAGCAGCACCGACGAGGAAGCAGCCTAAGCCTTGGATCAGAGTTTCGTATTCATTAAACCAGGTTTAAATTCCCCAAAATCTGGTTTAATTGTATTAAAGAAAAAACCCGATGCCTGCCGCTGGAAAAATCGAGTTTTTTCCACCCATGGCAAGGGACAGAGGAACACCCCCAACATGAGTGGGACAGACGCGTGGAGGAAGAAGAAGAGAGTTGCAGCTAGTAGGAGCCACGCTGTCCCCAGCAATGTCACTCGATCATTCCTCCTCCACCCGTGTTGAGGACGCCGGGTCGGCAAACAGGACACTTTTGTCGTCTCAGCCACTGCAGGTCACCACAGGACACTCACCCAACTCCACACTCATTCATTCACCCATCCACCCACCCACTCGCCACACTCGCCACACTGCAGATCACCACAAGACACTCACCCAACTCCACACTCATTCATTCACCCACCCACCCACTCGCCACACTGCAGATCACCACAGGACACTCACCATTACTCCACAAGGACAATAATCCCCCTTATAGCTTTAACAGACTGTTGGGGCAAGTGCTGTTTGCGAGCACCTATGAAGGTGGGCACGGCACACGAGGGGGTGGGTGGCCAACACCACGCCCGGCCGCCTTTGTCTCCCCAGTGACGATGTTTTACACACCGCACCAGGTACTCATTTGAGGCTGAGTCGACCGAGGGGAGGCCCAGGACCGGTTCAGATGATCGTTACTGGTGTTGGCCGTGAGCGGGAATCGAACCCGGGTCGCCAGGTTCGTAGCGCAGCGCGCTAACCGCTACACTACCGCACCCCACAAGACTCCACACTCATTCGTTCATTCACCCACCCACTCGCCACACTGCAGGTCACAACACAGACTCCCCCGTTTCGCCTGAACTGATTGTTGGGGGCAAACGCTGTTAGCGAGCGTGCCTCGTCACCACGCCTAGCCGCCTTTGTCTCCCCAGTGATGATGTTTTTATTTTTTAAAACACTGCACCATGCACTAATTTGAGGCTGAGCCGACCTAGGAGAGGACCCAGGGACCCGTTCAAAATATTCGTCAACGACGTTGGCCCTGAGCAGGCGTGAACTCGAGCGGTTGGGGGTCAGTAGCGCAGTGCGCTCACCACCACCACCGCAACCACCACCACAACCACCACCACAACCACCACCACCACCACCGCAACCATCGTGCCACCGCTCCCACTCGCGCGCAATTCCAGACGTCGTCTCGTTCTCGCTTCTGCCCCAAAAAAAACAAAACTCGCTTTGTCCGGCAACGGCCCCGAGCATCGGGAAGAGCAAAGCCCATTCACACGGCGCTGCCTCTCTGCCTCTGAGTGTCTGTCTTTGTGTCTCTCCCTCTTTGTGTCTGCGCGTGTCTGTACGAACGCCCGAGTGCGGGAGCCGGTTTGCGCGCTGCGCTACGAACCCGGCGACCCGAGATCGGTTTGCAGTTTCAGTTTCATTTATTTGGTATAGCCCTGTGAGCCATTGGGCTCTTCAATCGGATGCAACCGCAACAACCAAAAACATGAACAAGAAGCATCTTAAAGTAACGACGCGCAAACAGAAAAATCCAGGAAAAAAACGGCAAAGTCTTCCAGAAAATGATCGATGCCCGCTCACGGCCAACGCCGGTGACGATTCTCTGAATCGTTCCTGGGTCTCCCCCTAGGTCGACTCGGCCTCAAATGAGTACCTGGTGCGATGTGTGAACATCGCCACCGGGGAGACAAAGGCGACGGGGCGAGGTGCTGGCCACCCCACCCCCTCGCGTGCCGTGCCGGCCTTCGTAGCTGCTCGCTAACGGCACTTGCCACAATAGTCTGTTACAGGCTATATCGGGGGATCTTTGTCTTTTGTATGGCTGTGAGTGTGCTCTTTGTCTGACTGTCTGTGGGTCTGACTGTGTGTTCGTGTGTCTGTTCCGTAGGTTGTTAGATGCGCTCCGTAGCGCACGGCAGTTTGCGGTGGTCAGTGGGACGAGAAAGGTGGAGAGGTGTGGCAGTCAATCTTGAGATACTTTTGACTTTAAACAACTTTTATTGCCGCCAGCAGCAACAGCCCTGGAGGCGATTCCGATATGAAATACACAAAGTCGCCAGCAAACAAATGAAAATAAACGCTACAAATCCACGCACTGTGGCGCTAAATGCACCGCGCACAACATGAAATAAAAGCCACGTGGTGGTGGTGGTCATCGCGCACGCCACGGTGACGAACGAGCGCTTGAGAAGGTGAACACCACGAGGGTGCCGTCCACGCTGGTACAGAGAGGGGCTTTTCCGGCTCCCCAGCGTTCGAAGAGTGTTAAGAGAGAGTGTCGGTGGGTAGCACATGATGAAGACTCACAGCATTGTTTCTTGCTGTGGTTGTTCCACCTGATGATGATTGTTTGTGTTGCGATCGAAACGTCGTGATTTGTTTTATGTTTTTATACCTACGTGACTTTGCCGAAAGAACCAAAGAGTATGGATTCCTGCAGTCATGAAAGCTTCAAATCAAGATTGAAGTCTCACTGGCACTACTCCCTATCGGTACTGTATTTGGGAAAGGGTTTAATGCACAAAACACAATGCACGCTCCGTTTTTTCAATATTTCTTTTGAATTGCTCCGAATTCGGAAGCAGGTGTTCCCAACACAGGGAAAATCGATTTAACACGTCGGCTTTGGCGGCCGATATTATATTAACGCTATCTAACCCGAAACAAAACCCCTATTAGGGAAAGTCGAGGTTTTGTTTGGCGTGGATTTTGTTAAACAGAAAAAAGTTCATATTTTGAATCGGCGCACGAGACCGCGGCCGCTCCGTGCTAATCGAGTGAGCCTCCCGTCGGAACGTGGCGTGCCAACGAAACGTTATCCCCTCTCCGCGCGTAATAACGAAACATTATCCCCCTCTGTGCGTAGTAACGAAGCGTCATTCCCGTCCGTGTGCGCAAACGGCGAGCCCGAGTATTTCCTTACGCAAACAGTGAGCGGAAGTTTCGCTTCATGAGTTAAAATCCTCTATTTTTTATTATTACTCTTTCAGCAAAACACCGAAGAAAAGTGGTTTGCATTCCTCAGCACCACCCACCGACCAGGTGGTTTCCCCAATAAACATGCCAATGTTGGGCCAACGATAGCATGTGGCTGGAACCGTTGGACCAACATTGCACGTTTACCAGTTTAGTGGCAGCAGCAAGCGGCCCACAATCGGAAGGTTTCAAGTTCAAATCCTTGTTGAGGGTGGAGGGTTGACTCGGCCCACCAGAAAGAGAGAACACGCGGGTTAGCGAACAGAAATTAAGACGCAATCTTGATCCGTGGCATTTGACTAAATCGCCTAGAATTCAATCCAAACACGTCAGACGTAGGAAGCGATGCACGGGGTTGGTCCCGGGCAGTGCTTGGATGGGTGACCACCATGTCAACAAACCGCCGTAGGGATTGTGACCAGTAGAGGGCAGTGCAACAACATCAGTTAATTTGTATTCCCTTCGCCTGAACCAACCCGCACCGACCAGCCTGAAGTATGGTCAATTAAAACCCTCACTGCCTGTCAAGGGAATGGGGGGGGGGGGGGGGCTCTCCATCCAGCAGTGGATCGACACACAGGCTGCACATGGAAATGCACCGTACTATGACCGGAGCTTGGGTAGGACACGACAAGAGATGGACACGGCGATGATGATGTTGCAGCAGCAGCAGCTGCTGCTGTTTAACACATTCCTGCGGAGGGAGCTGGTAGGAACGTTGGGTTGCTCGGTCAATGGCCAGGGTCAACGGCGGCGTGGTGTATTCCGCAAATATGCCTGACTGTGAGGGCGGGCACAAGCCGGCGTGAGTTGGTTAAACGTTGAGTTTTATAAGGGCACCACAGGGTGACCAGCCTCTCCCCACCCAGCCGCACCCCTCCCACCCCCTACCCAGCCCCACCCTCTCCTCCCCACCCAGCCCTTCCCCACTCCTCCCATTTTTTGATGCACGACGGACGGACACAATAATCCCGTGGGCTGGTGGAACCAGGTGGTTCCTACCAGTACTATGCTGGTGTTATATGTCAGTAGCCACAATGAGCTTTCCCTGTTTAAACACACCTTTTTTTCTCAATTCCGTGGTCTGTGCAAGACGTCTATTCAGACTTAGCTTCCCATACAATAACATTCAGGGGAGGGAAAAACATATATAAACCAGTTTCTTGACATTTTATTTTCTACTCACTTTTATTGTGCTATTCGTTGCGCACGGTTGCAGTTTATTTCGCGCGCGGTTGCAATTTATTCTGCTCAGTCGGCATTCGCCACCGAGGTCGTGACAGGTTTCTTTTTTTCATTACTGTTGTTGTATCGTTCCTGCTCTTGATATTATGCGCTCCGATGCCTACTTTATTGAGGGTGATATTGCCATGTAAAAAAATGATTTATCGATTCACCTTTTACACGTAGGAGCAAACGCAAATGAGCATTGCAACAACACACCTGGTCAGATGCAACTTTATTGACAAGTGAATTACAATTATAATAATGATAGGTAACACAATAAAGACACGATCAACACACCTGCACTGACAGCGGATGGCACACTCACGTACACACACGTGTTTATCTCTGGAACCCAACCGGCAGCTGTCAACCGCTGTTGCGACAAAGGTGGCGAATGACGCAGCTACTGACACACAGTTGGCTCGGCTTAACACGTCTATCCATCAACAGTGCACCTGACACCCATTACTGCCATGGTGCTTGCCAATCATAGATACCTGGTGTTGCATGTCAACCTATGGAGATTGGCAAGACCTGGAAAGCTTGTATATGAACGTGCCTGTGTGGGTGTGAGCATGTGAGCTTGTGTGCCTGTGCGTGCCGGGGAGGGGTGTCACTTGGTGGACACGCGCGTGCGTTTGCTCCAGGAGAAGTTTGCGCCGTAGGATTTGCTCCTGGGCTTCGGGGTTCTCTTCTCTTCCACTTCGTAGCTCCACCCTGAGTCACCGTGCACAACCAGTGTTACATTAAATCGCAATTTTTACATTTGACATTCACAAAGCAGGAATGACTTTCTGCTCATTTCATAGTGAGCCGTGCGTAGATTCGTATCATTTATCGGTACCATTTTTGTCAGCGAAGTCGATGGCTTCTTCTTTACTGGAGAAGGACAGGAGCACGTTGGAGAGGGGGTCACCCCTGCACACCGACACACAAAGTCAAAGTTCACCCATGTAGCCTACATAAAAATAAAACATAATTAAACAATTCTCACGACGTTTTGTCCACAACGCAAGCAGCCGTCCTCAGGTGAAGACCAGGTCTGTCGAGGCGACAGCGTCTGAATGAAACAGCACACGTGCTTGGTATATATAAATAAGCTGGGTTGGAAGGGGGGAAAAGGGCGCCTTGACAAAAGAATATGCATATCAAGAGGCATTTAGCATATTTGCATTTGCCATAAATATTCAAAATGCCTCTTGATATCCATATTCTTTTGTCAAGGCGCTCTTTTCCCCCCTTCCAACCCAGCTTATATATATGCACCAAGCACGTGTGCCGTTTCATTCAGACGCTGTCGCCTCGACAGACCTGGTTTTCACCTGAGGACGGCTGCTTGCGTTGTGGCCGAAACGTCGTGAGAATTGTTTATTTTATTATTTTATTACTTCCCTTCTACGTGACTTTACCGAAAGAACCAAGAAGACCTACATAAACTGTTAGAGCAAGTATTGTTAGCTAGCACCGCCACCATCACAACCACTGTCCCATCTTTACTGTGCCATTGTCAGTACTAATGCCCCTAGCACCACTGCTAACACCACTACCACCACCCCCAATGCAATCACCACTGCTTCCGCAGATACCACCACCACCACCACAAACATTATCACACGCCACTCACGAGGAGCTCCAGCCCATGAGTGGGTTTTCCCAGCGTTCTCGCGTGTCGAATTCCAGCTTCCACTTGCGCGTGTTGTTGGTGCCTGACTGCATGGCGTTGCGTGCCGGCACGAAGATGCGCACCTTGCGCGTGGTCACGTGCTCGCCAGGAATGCCTGTAACGGGCGAGATGTCCTGCGCGTGTGCACGTGCCGGGAGAGAAAGGGAGCGGGGGGTGAGATGCGAGAAGCAACAGGTCACAAGGTTTTTTCGTACAACTTGTTCACACTTTCAACGCAGGTTAATCGCTATTGTACTAGGTCTGTCTGTCTATTGTAACGAAATGTAATGCTAAAATGTTCTGCAGACTTTTTTTTGTCCACTTCATACGATGTATTCATATGCTGTGATAAAAATTATTGTCTTTCATCTTTAAATGTATTGTCGGTGTCGGGCCCCACCACTTTCTCGTTGACGACGATGAGCTGACTGTCGCCGCCCTTGCTCTGTGGCACTGATGACAGGAACCTGGCCACAAAGACAGAAGGAACGTATGGCATTGATAAAGCAGGGTCAGGAAAGGTACATTTATTTGCCTTTTCTCCAACTTTATTCCAATCGGGCTCTCGGCGTCATGAGAGTGTCCATTCAGAACTCTCGCAAAGCGGCGCAAACCTCCAATGCCAGAAACCAGATACTATAGAATTTGCTTCTGAGATCCCTTCGAGTGTTTTTTTTTTATCAAAATCCACACTCGGGGATGTAGTTTGCCGAATGCAGTGAAATGCTCGTCACATGGCAGTCAAACTGATATTTACAGTTCTTAAGAGTTGAAATTCAGCCAAGGAGAATAAAAAAAAAAATGTAATGTTTTTTTGTACAGTGATTGGTGATTGAGCTGAGACCGTCAACCCCATACACACGACACCCAGTTTCACCACGGACAGCTGAAACCAAGATTTGAACCAAGGATCCCAGTGGTGTCAGCTCAGTGTTGACCGAGCCGCCCGGTCACCTTGGGAAGGGCAGCCTTGGCAGGTCAAGGGCTTGATCATGTTGCGTACTGTAGTTTATCACCATCAGTCACAGTCTATCCACTGCTGGATGAAGGTCTCCCCCCCCTCCAAGCCATCACGATTCTCCAAGGTCTTGCAATGCAACAATACTCCCCCTCAAGCTCGTGCCTGTGAGCTAATCTCCATCTCCGTGGTGGGCATCCTTTTGGGTGTTATCTCCTTTCGTTGCTACTGTTAGTCTGCCATCGCATTCTACAATGTAGTAAAACTAGTAATCTATACATTGAAATTAAATCAGTGTAATATTACTGAATACAACAGTAAAAATAGTACAAACTCATTACTTCCCATTGTCTTGAATCAATAATACGGTCGGTGACACTTAATGAGCTTTGGTAAAGGTGTTCTGTATTCTTTAAATCATTCAGGAATAACCCAATTGTCGAAAAATGGGTTGACGCAACGACTCTCCGCGTCACATGAAATACAATCCCGCGTAGTTATATCATGGCAGCAGAATGCTGCAGGAGGGTAGTAATTTCATAACCCAAAAGCAATAAATTACACAGCAACCATGCCACAACCTAATCTGCATTAGGAATGATGACGGTCATTATGACCCAGGCAAAGTCTAAAATTAGCGCAGGTCACATTTAGATCGGTAGCAACACTACTCGTTATAATGTACAACGCTCTACCCCATGTGCCAAACATCACTGGTCTTGTTAAGAGACGTAATGCAAGTGATAATTGCAAGCATTGTACATTAAGCCCTTCTTTACGGCTTAAATGTCCAGACATCAGACGGCGCGGCTAGACGAATACGCGAAGGTGGCTACCTCATCGTGTGTCATCACGGCCACGACAACAGAACACTGGTGTGAAATGATATCCAAATTAGTGTCTGCGCTCGCATGCATTGACACATGCGCACACACACACACACGCGCGTCCATTCACAGGCTAAGCCTGCCTGCCCAAACCTGCCTAAAGCCCTTGAACCGCGTAGGTGTGAGAGTCGGAAGGGGAATGTTTAGACTACCTTTCGAACGATCTCTCCTCTAGGGGGAGGGGAGCGAATGAGAGGCGCATGAGAAATGTGCTCAAGCCGTCTTTGTTTAGATTTACAAATATAGTTGCCGAATGCTGTTGTGTTATCACGCAGATGTGGCTTGCAAAAAGAATAGCCGTTGCTTGATTTTAATAAAGGACATTTATGTATATTCATTTCACTGTAAGCATATGCAAGCCTATGGTTCCCTATACAAGTTTATGGGTCTCTAAGTTATCTACGAGTCTCTCTAAAATCAGTGGTGAGTCCTCTCATTTTCCTCTGCTACACCGTGCAAGTCCGTGCCGTCAATTCCCTTACCCTGTTCAAGTCATCTGCCCATGAGTGACCGTCTCTTTCTCTGACGTACCGGTATGCCCACTGTTTCTATGCAACGTCTGGAGATGCGGTAATATTTCGACTCCATGTGAATCAAACTTGCATTGTTTTCGTGTTCTATGGCTGGCAGTCCGTCCGTGCGTCTCTATTACAAGTCGAAGGGTCTCTATGTAGGTACGTGGGTCTCTATAAAAGCCGAAGTAAGAGTATCTTGGTGTCAATGGGGTCATACCTATTTTACATAAAGCTAATCTACACAGACGAGATGAAAGCATGACCAAATCACGCAAATTTACGGGGTTCGAGGCGCGGCTTTCCCAGGCAGAGCTTCTAGGAAAGGCGTAAGGCTCCTCGGCTCCGCTAGGCCGCATCGTCAAGGTCGGCTCCGGAGTGGCGGCAGCGCCCCCGGGTAAGACGACAGCCACGCGGGGAGGACGAGAAGGGGACCCCCACTGAAGCGGAGCTCACCGTGCAGGCGTCTGCACCGAGCCGGGAGCTCGCAGGAGGAGAGAGACGCAGACACGAACACCGGCCATTCCCGTCCGTCCCACGGCCGCTAAGGGGGCAGCCATTGCGGCGGTGACGTCGCTACGAGCTGCGGTCACGTGATACCCCCCCCACGCACCCCCCCCTCCCCTCCTCGTTCGCTCCACAGAAACCTTCAGCTGTGATCAAGTTTGAAGTTTTCAAGTTCATTGATTAGGTAGAGAGCCCTGTGAGTTCAAGTTTTCAAGTTTATTGATTAGGTAGAGAGCCCTGTGAGCCATTCGGCTCTTGAATCGGGTGCAACCGCAACAAACAAAAAACAAAAACATGTACAAGAAAACATCTTAAAGTGAATATGTGACTGAGTGCAAACAGAAAACCCAAGAAAAGACAGCAAAATATTTCAGAAAAAAACACCGTACACCAACGCTGTGTGCAAAAATCCCAGTGGGATGCAAGTCAAACAACAACAACAACCACAAGACTAAGGCCATCAGTCTTACTCCGTACTACAACAAACAAACGTGGCCAAACCAGTAAACTTTTCGAAATCACCAAAATAATCCACTGCTGGATGAAGGCCGACACGACGACATCGATTTCGTGGGCTCTCATCGTCCTCCGATGTAGCCATTCACACAAGCGCACAATTTTGACTCGGTTGCAATGTCCACAGCGACCATCGGCCCATGCCTGTCAACCCCTTATCAGTGCCCTACCACATTACAGAACGATTCGAATCTTATTGATCACCCCGTGTCATTATCGAGCTCAACGTTCAGCCTACAAAGCCCCATCACAAGGGGGGGGGGAACACAAACAAATAGACAAAAATGTAGCCCGTATTGAAACGGTTGTACGACGTATGGACCTGAAAACTCAATTTTCCTGCACAAGAAACACATTCCTGTGGAGAGAGCTGGTAGGAACGTTGGGTTGCTCGGTCAATGGCTAGGGTCAACGGCTGCGTGGTGTATTCCGCAAATATGGCTGACTGTGAGGGCGGCAACAAGCCGGCGTGAGTAGGTTAAACGTTGAGTTTTATAAGGGCACCACGGGGTGACCAGCCCCTCCCCTCCCCACCCAGCCCCACCCCTCCCATCCCCCACCCAGCCCCACCCTCCCCACCCAGCCCCTCCCCACCCAGCTTCTCCCCACCCAGCCCCTCCCGGCACGACGGACACAATAATCCCCCGTGGGCTGGTGTAACCAGGAGGTTCCTACCAGTGTAACGGGTAAACCGTATGGGTTGACAGCGATGTGAGTGACATCGCCCCAACTGCGGAAACTCGGCAGGATCACCCTCCTGGATTGAGTCACGATGAGACTCGGTGACGGTGCGCTGGGTCGACGAGCGTCAGGAGGAGATTTAAAAATAGAAAACTGAAAAAAGATTTTAATCGCTCCATCTCTGTGTCGGTGATCGGCCCCTCGGGTCTAATTCTCTCCGTTGGCTGCCACTCCCACCACGAGTCTCGGCCACCATCCCCTTTCCAGCAGTTGAGCCAAGGCCGTAGCCATGGAGTCAACATTGGGGGGGACCAAATCTTCCAGGGGGTCTGGAGGTCCCACCACAGAAAAAAAAAATCTGAACTTGAAAACGAATTTCCTGTCATTTCCTGCCTAAAATATTAAAAAATTCACTAACACATGGGATGGACTTTTAATTCTTTTTTTTTACAATAATGTCTAATAGTGTATTGTATTACATTGCTCTGTTTTTTCTTTTTTTACCTTTTCTTGTTTCATTGTATGTAATGGCAGAGATTAGGGATTCATAAAGTACAACCATAACCACAATCATATAAACAGAAATATGTTTTATAGCAATAATATTGGGGGGGGGGGACATTTTGAGCATATTTGAATATTGGGGGGATGTGTGCCCCCCAATATATATTATAATTACGGCCTTGAGTTGAACACTTAGTAATCGGGCTTTATAAATGTGTCGTTAAACCGGCCACCACCCGACACAGCCAATTGGTAAGGTTAGGGGCCGTCCATAAATGACGTCACGCGATTTTGGACGATTTTTGACCCCCCCCCCCCTCGTCACACGGCGTCACAAAAAGTCAGACCCCCCCTCAAATATGACGTCACAAAGCTCTGCCCCCCCCCCAAAATAAAACATGCTTCAAATCGCTTTAAACTATTGTCATTGTAGTGCGTATTTAATGTGGCGCTGCACTCTGATGTTGTAGGAGAAACATTTATTAAAAGTCTATTTAATTAAGTAGAACGTGTTGTCTATATTTATTAAAAGTTGTGCATTCTGATGTGACGTCGTATTTCTCAAACCCCACCCCCCCCTCGTCACACATCGTCACAAATGTCTGAACCCCCTAGGTGCATGACGTCATTTATGGACGGCCCCTTAGTGTACGTATAGAAAACCTGCCAATTAGTTGCCGGTTCAGCACACGGGTATGTTTTGGAGAGTAACCCCACAACATTCACCGGTCGAATACGACGTTTCGCCCGCAATTGGAGTTGTGCAGAGCTGCGGATAAATCCTCCTGCTGTTTCGGCCATCGTTCGAGCCATGACGCTCCAGGTCCACTTGTCTTCACAGCCAATGGGGATGACTCTCGTCACGTGCGCGCTTTGTGTTCTCACGTGCACGTGCTTCTCCTCCGTCTCGGTGCCATTCCAAGCACGCGTCTCTCGGCACGCGTTCACTGCGCGCCTTGCTGCATTTTTTAATCCTTTATATTAAGTTCGCTTGCTTGCTTAGGACCGTGCAAATCTTTCGGTCGTTTTTTAACCCACTTCCCGTGATCCAATCGAGCTGACATTTTGCACACAGACTCGTTGTGCGTGATAATGCGTTTTCGTGAAAAAATTTTTTCCTAAATTTTACACTTTTTAGGGAATTTTTTAAAAATATTTAATTACCAATTGTTTAATGCTGCCAGACAATCATCTGACCTATAGGTGGCAGTCATCTCAAGCCAGAGGACGAGAGGACTCTAGCCGCCCCGATGCCGCGCATATAAAGGATTTATAGTGAAAAACTTTGTTTTTACGGGTTAATTTTTTTAATCCTTTATATTAAGTTTGCTTGCTTGCTTAGGACCGTGCAAATCTTTCGGTCGTTTTTTTATCCACTTCCCGTGATCCAATCGAGCTGACATTGTGCACACGGACTCGTTGTGCGTGACAATGCGTTTTCGTGAAAAAAATTTTTCAAAATTTTACACTGTTTAGGGATTTTTTAAAAAATATTTAATTACCAATTGTTTAATGCTGCCAGACAATCATCTGACCCATAGGTGGCAGCCATCTCAAGCCAGAGGACGAGAGGACTCTAGCCGCCCCGATGCCACGCATATAAAGGATTTATAGTGAAAAACTTTGTTTTTACGGGTTAATTTTTTCTCGGTCACGTTTGTGATGAATGCGTCAGCGCAGGCGCCGATTTCGCTTTGCTGTCAAGTTCTGTTCCCTTTTACTCAAACACTCGAACCGCGGTGACCTTTCCTGATACCTTGGTTCCTGTGGACGTTGATTCCTCCTCTGCCCACGTGGAGGACTCGAGTCGATCACAAGACACTGTCCACTCACCAATCCTCCACACTGCACTCACCCACTCACCACACTGCAGGTCTCAACACACTCTCACTCACCACACTGTGCTCACCCACTCACCACACTGCAGGTCTCAACACACTCTCACTCACCACACCGCACTCACCCACTCACCACACTGCAAGTCACAACACTCTCACTCACCACTCCGCTCACCCACTCACCACACTGCAGGTCTCAACACACTCTCACTCACCACACCGCACTCTCCCACTCACCACACTGCAGGTCTCAACACACTCTCACTCACCACACTGCTCACCCACTCACCACACTGCAGGTCTCAACACACTCTCACTCACCACACTGCACTCACCCACTCACCACACTGCAGGTCTCAACACTCACCCACTCACCACACTGCAGGTCTCAACACCCTCTCACTCACCACACTGCACTCACCCACTCACCACACTGCAGGTCACAACACACTCTCACTCACCACACCGCACTCACCCACTCACCACACTGCAGGTCACAACACTCTCACTCACCACACTGCTCACCCACTCACCACACTGCAGGTCACAACACACTCTCACTCACCACACTGCTCACCCACTCACCACACTGCAGGTCTCAACTCTCTCACTCACCACACTGCTCACCCACTCACCACACTGCAGGCCTCAACACTCTCTCACTCACCACACTCCGCTCACCCACTCACCACACTGCTCACCCACTCACCACACTGCACTCACCCACTCACCACACTGCAGGTCACAATTATATTTTCCCTTCCTCCCACTGCTCCGCTTTGGAATTCCCTGTAAACATCTTTTTTTCCAAAGCTCGCATCTTGCTTAATTCAAGGAATGTACTTCTGTAACGTTCATCTGTACGGCTTGAAGTGCTGCTTATTGCTGGGCCGTTTTGTAACCTTTTGCCTGTGCCCGAGCAAACCGTTCTTTTAAAGATGAATGAAAACAAAATCACTCATTTGTATTTTAAAAATAATATGTAACAGGCAACGTTTCTAGCAATGGTCCTTCTTCATGAGCATTGTCCGAAACGTCTCCTATAATGTTTAACCTTTAAAGGGAGATTCGATGAACGTGTAGAGTTTTTTGTTTATTACATGTGTAGTGTATAGTGTAGTGTATAGTGTAGTGTATAGTGTAGTGTATATTAGTGTAGTGTATAGTAGTGTAGTGTATAGTAGTGTATAGTGTATAGTAGTGTAGTGTATAGTAGTGGATAGTGTATAGTAATGTAGTGTATAGTAGTGGATAGTGTAGTGTATTGTGTAGTGTATAGTAGTCTAGTGTATAGTGTAGTGTATAGTAGTGTATAGTGTATAGTAGTGTAGTGTATAGTTTTGTATAGTGTAGTGTATAGTGTTCTGTATAGTAGTGTATAGTAGTGTAGTGTATAGTAGTAAAGTGTATAGTAGTGTATAGTGTAGTGTATAGTGTAGTGTATAGTAGTGTATAGTGTATAGTAGTGTAGTGTATAGTAGTGTATGGTGTAGTGTATAGTGTAGTGTATAGTAGTGTATAGTAGTGTAGTGTATAGTGTAGTATAT